CTCAGGCTTCTTATTGGCTAGCTCTCTCTTAATTATTAACCCATCTCTATTAATCTGTGTATCTCCATGTGGTCTTAGCTTACTGGTGATGCCTGGATCTCTTGCTTCCTCAGCAGCTACATGGCATCTCCTTGACTCTGTCTACTACATTTCTCTTTCCCTGTTTGGATTTCCTGCCTGGCTAAATCCTGCCTGTCCATTAGCTTGTGCTATGCCATATCATAAGATCAAACCTAAAAGTACCATTTCCAAACCTACTTCAGTCTCATCAGCCTGAGCTCAGACCTATTTCATGTCCTACTTCCCCATCTAAGGCCCTCAGCTATTGCCTCAGACATCCATGACCTGCTCCCTGGTCATCTGAATTCCTCACCTCTTCTACTGACACTTTGGCTCTGATGGCTGTAATGGGCTCCCTGTCATTTGGTTCCTGCTTTGTCTCACATTGGGGGTGGATGTTAAAGATTTCCATGAGTTTTAGTAAAGGACATATCAATTCTCAAGCAAGAAACAACTGTTCCCAGAAAAGGTTACTATTGAAATCAGATTAACTGAAATAATGGGAATTGTCTGGAAGGACACAGAGTGTTTCACTGGATCCAATGACTCTAGAAGAACTAGAACCTCAAAAGGAGGAAAAAAAGTTCACTGTCCAGGTTTATGGGCCCTTCCTTTTTAGATTCTCCCTGTAGCTAACTTTTCTGGCTTTAGTAAACCTTAACAGCCTCAGACCTATTTCTACATGGCTTTTCAATTCCACCAACTAAAGTCTGCTGCCTAATCTCAGATTCTTGAAACAGAATATTTGATGGGCTCAGTCTGGTAAAAATTGACCATGACAACAAAAGAACAATCAAGAAGTACCTTTAGAAGATTCTTGAACAATGTGGGAGAGATAACCCACCCCCCAACCAGTGTGGCAGAGAATGGTTTCCACTTTACCCTTTCTCCCAGAAAGCCTGAAGGATGAGTCATTAGGAAACTGTTTTTCATGGTGCTAAAATTTTATATATGCTCTAAATTATGTTTTATTGGCATCGTGCTTATTGAAAATCTTCTAAACCTATATTTCAAGATTCCCTGCCTTCTTAATCAGTATGCTGTGGGTACCTAAGCTTTTCTCTTATGACTCAGCCATCCTTATTATCACCATGTACTGTGCATTTTGCAGTACAGAGAGCCTCGGATCCTTTGGAGGCTCACTGGGCTATTTTCACCCACATAAAATGGCATAAATTGTTATATTTGAGGTCATTTGTCTGTTATCATCAGCTTCCTGTTGCTTTCAGCGTACCTATCTGAAAGCCCTTCTTCTCATGTTTAATTTATGACTGTTATGCTCCCTGTGGCTTTTCAAATTAAATAGCACAGGCTATTAGTTGCAATCCATTAGTTTGCCAGAACACTCATGCACTCAGGTTCCTCAGTTAATGGAGGAAAATATAAAAATACACAAAATATTAAGATAGGTCATCATTCAAAAAGCTAGTCCACACAGTGAAATAGAACATTGTTCAAGGTGCACTTTCCAAGTCTTCTGACCCTGTTAACCTGGCCCATTTGGGGAGGCAGAATCTGAGACCACAGAGGGGGGTGTAGTGAAAGCAAACCCCTTCCTGCAGCTACCATTCATTGAAAGATTTTGGAAAATGGTCAAATATAGCCTACCATAACTGAACCATGCATCCTACTGGATTTAAATATATACATAAATTAGTGGGGTTGCTTATAATAATACAAATTTTGATTCAGTAGAGGTAGGTGGGGCCTGAGTGTCATCTGGTCAACAGGCTCCAGGAGATGCCTGAGATGGATCATCCTGGTAACAATGGTTTTGGGTGTTTGGGGTTGTGGCAGGTTAATACCTCAAATCTTTGCAAGAAGATCCAGTGGAGATTTCCAGACTAAGGGAGGATCTACAGGACATACAGATGCTATATGGACAGGCAGGGCTGTCAAGATGACATGAGTGCCTTTTCTGACTGCTGAATCTTCCAGCCCTCACAAGCCTCAGAAATAGTTGTGGGCCTAAATAAGATCAAATGGGTCATCCATGGTAGGATTCCCATTTGAACGCTGGATGACTCAGAGTTTAGGGCTGAATGCCACCTGGAGAAAGACCTATTGTTTCAAACTGAGCTAAACTGAGGGCCTGAGGATGGCTAACAGTCACAGACAGTGAGCCTGAACTTAATCTGCCACTGCACCAGGGCCAGAGACAGCCTGGTGAGGCAGATGTGGAAAGTGGGAGGGTCCACCACTTTCACTTTCTTCTATCTTCCTTCCTATCTGTGTTTCTTCTCCTAAGCATAGGAAGGACCATAATTTGTAACTCTCTTATGCTTTAGCTGGAGACACAATTTTTCTCAGTTCACATCACTAAGATTCTAGCCCTTCTATGTTCTATCTTGAAGCTCCTCTTCCATATTTGTTTGGCATATAAGACAAAACATTCTAGATGTTTTCTTTTTTAATCCAAAGTTTGACAACCTACCTTAAAATTATGAATGAAATTTAATTGTTACAATGTTTAAATGTTACAATGCAAAGCAAATATGTGACTAAGTAATTTTTAAATTGATGTCTTATGATCATAAAGGATATGTTATAAAAAGTGCCATGAATCAAAGTGTATTAAGATTGAAATAGTCAATATTTTTAGGCCTAGTAGTTTCTAATCTGGGAACTATGAAAATAGCAACATGAGTCATGGGCTATTTTCAATATTTTCACTGGCAGAGTGATTGCTTTTGTATAAGATTTTATCAAATATGTGTAAGACCATGTTGTAGACTAGGAGAGTGCTGGTCTCTGTCCATGATAAGAAGCCCAATCACATGCATAAATTAGGAAATCTCAGACTTAAACTGAG